CCCCCCCCCCCCCCCCCCCCCCCCCCCCCCCCCCCCACTCAGACCCAGACCACATGGCGATTAACACCAGATTACCCCTCCACTGACCGAGCCCCCATCTTTTACACACCGTCTGTCCAGACACAACCACTACTGGGATAGCGAACAAGGACTTCAAGGGTAAATGGAAGGCAGGGGAATCGAAACACAGAATTGGCTAGCGGAACAAACAAGGACATCACTTACCAAAATAACTAAAGTAATCGAGCAGGGAGGAAACAACCAAGAAGAAGTAGTAATCTATCAATGTCCGAAAGAACTCACCGAGAAGCAGGAGGAGTTACACAAAAAGCATGCTGTACTTTTCACATTCGCGAAGAAGAGTCAGGAGCTGGATAGACAAGCGAAGTTGAAATGGATATGGGAAAAGCTCAAGAGCTTGGAACCGATTCAGGGAACGGACCCGAAGGTGTCCTTCCACCCAAGGTCACGGAACATCATCATGGTGCTGTGCATGGAGGAGACACTGGCAACCTTCCTAAGGAACAAATGTTTCACATGCAATTCGTCGGTGGTTACAGTTCACCCTTGGAAACAAGCAGTGGGATATCAACAAACTCCTTTCACATACAAACAGGACCTGTTAAAAAAACATTTTTTGATGCAATTTGACAACGTGCCGGAAGGTATGCACGACTGCATCAAAGAAAGGGTGAAAATGGAATACGGACACTACAAGGAGTCACACTGGATAGTGTCTACCCCAGACTTTCTTACACCACAACACAATCAGATGACCGTGATCTTGGACACAGGAAACAGTCCCGCCCCTTTCACACCCGAAGAATGGTTCTTCGAGAATGAAAACAGAGTCATCAGAATCACGGTCTCCAACAAATCCAACCCTCTCTGCTTCAAATGTAGACAGAGAGGACATCTGGGAACAGATTCAAGCTGCCCCAAGGTTAGAGAGAACGCTAAGCCCAAGCCGCTAAAAACAACTAACCTTCAGGAGGTAGCGGAGAAGAAAGGATACTGGTACATCCCGAGTGCACAATATGCAGGATGGGTGTTCAATGACAACTTAGAGACTCCTGACTGGGTCTGGACGCTGGATAGCGAACCAACACCCCGACCAGACGTCTATCCTCCGTATGACAGCAGATGGCAAACCTTGAAAGTGGAGAAGAAATCTCCCAAATGTTTCACCAGCGATCCAACGATAAACGTGGACGCTTTGAAGCAGGAAATTTGGGAGAAAGACCTGCGTGCAGATTTGCAGTCACTTCAAGAGGTCACTGAAAAGAAATGGGTAGAAGCAGTCCGGCGGAACCAAGATCTGGAAAGAAACAAAGAAGACCTGCAGAAACAAAGGACTTACACTAGAAGAACGCAGAAGGGACAAACCAAAGCAGGGCAGGGGCAAGGGGAAAGCACGGCCGGGACATAACAGAAAGAAGGGACGACCACCCCTCCGGGTGAAGGTAGTATAGGCAGCCAGACGCCAGCAGTGGGGGGGAAGAGAAAACACCTAGAGGGGGCTTGTGACAGAGATGAAGCAGCAGAGGAACAGGACTGGGATGAGGCGGCGTATTACCCGTGGTCGGAGCGACAGGAAAACGAGATACTGAGCTTTATACAGAAATTCGAGAAGGAAAGGCAGGAAAAATATGACCTGCAGCTGATCCTGCACAGAGAGGAACAAAGGAATAGACAAGTAGCAGCAGCAAACAACCCGACGCAAGCCCTCCCTCTCACGGAGAATCCGTTCGCCCCATTGGAAAGGGAGGCCGAATTGGCTGCTCTTCTGGCAGAAAAGTACAGTTCAACAAAGGAGAATCAGAAAATGGAGATAGATGAAGGGAACAACAATCCTGCCAAGGAGAAGTCGCAGACCAGCAGATCCAAACTGCCCAAGTACAGGCCTACACTCACCCTGAATGGACAAAAGGAACAACAGGGGCAAACAGATTCCAGCCAGGGAAGTGACCACATAGCGTTGTTGGGCATCCAAGCGGAGGCACTCTATGCACAATGTGAAAGACTCTCCGACCTGAACAGGGAAATGTCTCTGCGCACGGTGTCAGTGGAGGACCTCCACCTCAAATCACACGCGGGATTTTGGGAAAGGGCGAGAAAAGAAGCAAGCACGCTGATACCATCCCGGGCAGTGATCCCCATAAAATTTTACCCAGAGGGAGAACAGTGGAATGTTGCAATTAGCAGCGAGCAGGCATTTCCCAGATTGCAAAAGGGGCAAAAGAAGGAGGCATTGCTGAGCAAAATCTGTAAGGGAAAGGGATCCAAAATAATGGGATTAATAGGAAAGGACCCACACGTAGAGGAGAATGGACAAACCGACATGCTTGACTTAGAGGAAGGGAAGACCACTAGTTCATACGATGCAAGGCCAATCCTAGTTTGCTGCGACCAAGAAACAGAACTGACGGAGGGCTTCCAGTGGAGACCTTGGTGGTGGATGGCAACCCTACCAGTCACAGCTTTGGGTAACGAAACAACCAGATCCCAAAATGCAACAACACTAGCCTCCTTGGTGAAGGATGGAGTGCTCACAATGGGGAAAGAAGAGTTGCTGTCCCACCTCCAACCTTGTGAAGACGAACCAGGAAGCAGTTCCTCAACCTAAGCTGACTCATACAAGTCAAACACAAGAACAATACACATGAGCAATGAAGGACAGAAGGGGGGACCTGAGAATCCAATCTTGGAATGTCAGAGGTTTAGCAACCATCTTTTCTAATCTAGAAAAATGACATTGCTTTCTCAACAGTACGGGTTGGAGCAGTAACAACCCCCCGGATGTGCTATGCCTACAAGAAACTCACCTCACCAATTCGGAACAGCACAAGACAATTAAAAATGAGTTTGTTAGAAGATTAAGGAATCGTGCGACGGAAGTAGTAGCGTACAGTCCACAACAGGCATCAGCAGGGGTACTCATTCTCACTCATAGCAATTCGGAGGCAGCGCGATTCATAAGCGTCAACTCAGTAGCAGTGGACCAACCAAAAGGAAGGTGGGCCAAAATAGAGCTGTCGTATAGGGGTGAAGAGCTATCAATCCTAAATATATACGCTCTGAACTCCCCCGTGGAAAAAGTAGAATTTTTAGAGGAGGTTAAGAGCCTAAACCACCAACAATTACACTCAATCATAGTAGGGGATTGGAATACAATCCAAAACCCACAATTGGACAGAATATCCTGGGCGGAAGAAAACTCTCAAGACCCAGCCTCAGCATCCCAAGCACAACTTACGGCAGAAAATAGTCTTAAGGACCCTAATAGAATGCTTTACCCGGACAAAAAGGATTACACCTGTATTAGGAAGACCTCTCAAGGTAGAACCTCGTTCTCAAGAATAGATTTCTTTCTCATTTCAGAGTCGTTAGAAGGAGCCGTAACAGACTGCACAATAGGAAGACTACCCCACTACACAGGCTTCGACCATAACCCAATTACTATTACGTTAGAATTAGCTCTGGATAACTCTCCAGGAAGGAGTTTTTTCAAATTAAATACATCCTTACTCAGCATAGACTCCTTCAAGCAGGGCATCCAAAATAAATGGAAGGAGCTAACGCAAGGATTCAAAGAAGACGAAATCTGGACTGATCTCCCGGCAGGACTAGATCCCTAAGTGACTGGGCAAGCTGCTTCTCGAGGAACGAGGCTAGAAGGAGGAAGGCAAGGCAAGAAAGCCTGGAGGCAATAGTAGAATTAGCAAAATTCACCTCATAGCCAACCCGCGGGACACACTCTATGAACAACTGTTGGACGAGGCTAGGACAGAACTTAGACAGTGGGCAGATTGGAGGAGGCAAGGCCTAGCCATTAGAGCAAAGGTAAAGGACTGGGAAAGCAACGAAGCTATGACGAAATATTTTTTCCAAAGGATTAAGGCAAACCGTAGAAATAATAGAATTCTCGAGCTAAGAGACTCCACAGGCACAATACAAACGGCACAAGAACCAATGCTAAAGGTAGCAGCAGACTTTTACCAAGATCTGTACACATCCAAATCCGGCCCAAGGGAAAGCAGCAACATTCAGAGAGCTAGAGAAAAGTTCTTGAAACATTTGGATAAAAGCCTCAAACAGGAGGCAATAGATTACCTAGATAAAGAAATTACCAAAACGGAACTCTACGAAGCCCTCAGGAGCATGCAACCGAACAAAACCCCGGGACTGGATGATCTGCCTAAAGAGTTTTGGCAGGCCAATTGGCACATTATGTGCGAGAAAGTGGCAGCCTTCTTCCAAAAGGCTTTCGAGATTGGTTCCCTCGGAGAAGAGGTCAGCACCGGGGTTGTAACTCTGCTTTATAAGAAAGGGGAAAGGGAGGACATAAAGAACTACAGGTCGATAACCCTCCTATCAGTAATCTACAAAATATTGGCAAAAACACTGGCCAATAGAATACGCAACGTCACAAACAAATGTTTTCATTTAGATCAAACAGGTTTCATTCCGGGAAGATACATACTTGATAACGTAGTCTGCCTGAATGAAGCTACCAAAATAATTAAAGACAAAGGAGTGCAAGCGGCCATATTATTCTTCGACTTCGAAAAGGCTTATGACCAGGTCAACTGGGACTTCCTACAACTAAGTATGGAAAAAATGGGAGTGGGGCCAAACTTCAGGAAATGGATAAGGGTCCTTTATGGAGATGCAAGAGGGATGGTTCAGATCAATGGTCACCTGTCAGAAAAATACAAAATGACGAGATCTGTCAGGCAAGGAGACCCGCTGACAGCTCCAATTTTCCTGTTCGTGATGGAAGCAATTGCAGCATTCCTTCGAAAAGACCCCTCGATAGAAAGACTTTCAGCCAACCACGCTGGAAAACCGTTAGATATTCCCACAGTAATGCTAGTTGCTGATGATCTAACAGTCCTGATCAGAGCATCCGATTCGTCCT